GTATTGCAGAGTAATCTCCTTTTATACTGAGAAAAATATTTGCATTTGTATTTCCGGTATTACTGCAATACCATTATGGCCAGGCAGCCTCAAATATCGTCTGTGCCTTAAAATACCAGTCAGGTGGCAAACCTAAGAGTAGTGTGTAAAAAAAATATATATTTTTTTTATTTTATTTTTTAAATGGGCCTATTCCATGGGCCTGGGCCTGGGCCTGGAGCTGCAGCTCCATCAGCCCCTATGTTAATCCGGTCCTGAGTATGTTGAATATATTGCTTGTATGTGCCTCCTTGCTCCCCCTTTTTCCTGTCCTATTGTTTCCTCAGCAGGGCGTTGTCCCAGGGACACTGCCAGACCAGTTTAAACTAGATGCTTTGTTCCTCCTCAATCTCCCATCAGCTCTTGCTATTGTCTGACCCCACCCTTCCTTGTACTATAGTGGTCTATGTACCCTATTGTATGTAAATAAAGGCTGTTGGGGGTTAAAATGTGTGTGTAAATTGTAAGTGTTGGCCTGCATTAAACAGTCTACTCCCAGCATTAAGCCATGGCTCATGTGTGGGGGGAACTGCTATACTCTCTGGAGGAGAGGTCTACCCACTGGGAGCTTATTCCGTGACTTGGGTCAAGGGTGGGCGGAGACAGCGAGACCCCAGCCAAGCTGCGGCGGCTAGGGGCTAGAAGTGCTTATGGTGTCCTGGTGCAGTGCTTATGGTACTCTGTGATTACTAGGAAGCGTGAATTAGTGGAGGTACCCAGCCAGGGTACCAGGCGGTCCGCCACAGGGACTCATGAAAGATCAATGATGATCCACACATTCATAGCATCCTTGTAAATTATGCAAATACAGGATCATGAGGAAGTTGGCGTGGCATTGGGGCTTTGCATACCGAAAATACCTGGAAGTTGTTGAAAAATCATACATTATATTAGTGACTGGCAGTAGCTGCAGCCGCAAACTAAAATCCTAAACCTGTAGTATAAGAAATGAGTCACTTGATATACCTGCAATCTCCATGTTCTATATCACCACCTTGCTTTTACCTGTTACCACCCTCCCTTTTCTACCCACCCTCCCCTCCTTTTAACTTCTGAGTAATTCACAGGTGAAGATCACATGTAGAGGTGTTATATACATACTGTAACAAGTCCATGAGTATAATCGCCAACTAACTTGCTAGGTTTCATTGTAACAATCCAACATGTTGTGATGTAATAGTTCACACACCATGTCCCTGTGAAATAATGCATTGTCTTTGTGGAACCTGTTTACCTTTTGTGCCTAATGTAAAACCTCAATAAAAACTTTTCATGGAAAAAAATACTAACTATGAAAAATAACACTAACTAGGACTTTTAACATTCAGGAAGCTAATAAATTAACAATACTGCAGCAGAACTTAAATAATCCATGCTATAAACAACTCTTTATTTTGCAAGTATTAGAGGATGCTCAGCAACTAGTTAAATCTATTGATTGTGAAGAACTATAGGATGCCAACATTAACCCCTTCCCGACCGTAGACGGAAATTTTCCATCAACATTGTCCTTCAGTTAAGGACGGTTGACGGAAAATTTCCGCCATTTACTAAAGTTAACCCCAGATCGCGGCGATTGCGGGGTTAACGATGCTCAGGTCTGCCTCTGTATTAGAGGCAGACAGGGAGCACCCGATCGGGCTGCCACAGCACAGGTGCTCGCTCTGACAGGCTGTCAGAGCGAGCACATGTGCTCAGTGTACTTACCTTCCGCCTCCCTGCACTTCCGGGTTCTGTGTGAAGTGCAGGGAGACGGATCAGTGCTGCTGATCTTCTCCCTGTGTAAAAAAAAAAAAAATAAAGTTAAATCCCACCCACCCCCCCCTTTCCCCTGCTTTAATAAAATTAACCACTTCCCTGCCAATTGATCACTGACTACAGTGATCAATTGGCAGGGTATACATTTTAATGTCATCTGATTTATTTTTTTTAACTCCTGAGGGTTAATTATTTTTTTTTAACCCTCAGGGGTTAAATTTATTTATATTAATTAATTTAAATATTTAAAAATTATATATTTAGCTAGCTGGGATGGGTGGAAGTTAGTGAGGAATTGGGGAATTTGGTATTAGGCTAACTAGGGGTTAAAAAAAGTTTTAAAATAAGCTTTAAAAAGGTAAAACAAGTTTAAAAAAATGTTTTAGTAACGTTTAAGTAAAAAAAAAAAATACCACCCCCTTTTACCCAGTCTAAATAAAAATGAACCCCTTCCCTGCCAGTTGATCACTGCCTACAATGATCAAAATACAGATCACAGTATTATACTGTAATCTAATTTCTTTTAACCCTCAGGGGTTCAATTTATTTAAATATTTTATAATTATATATATTTTGCTAGCTGGAGTGGGTGGGAGTTATGGGAAAGGGGGGAATTAACTGTTAGTGCTACTTACTGCTAGTTAGGGGTTAACGGTAAAAGAAAAGTTTAGAAAAAAATTTAAAAGTTTAGAAAAAGTTAAGAAAGTGTAAAACATTTAATAAGTAAAAAAAAAGTTCAAAAATGGGTTTTACAAAGTAAAAAAAGTTTTACAAAGTAAAAAAACATTAAAAAATGCCCATTACCACTACACTTGGTACAAGCTAGCGGAAAAATGATCCCACGCTAAGGTTAAAAATATGCCTTTTGAACTACCCTGGGATGTCTTCTTTAAGAAATGGTATGCCTTTATGGTGTAATTGGATTATATAGCCTTGTAAAATACTCTAAAATGGGACATGGACACAGCGTAAAAATTCTAAATTTGAGAAAAACTGGAATGGCTGTGTCTCAAATGTGCCCCTTCAATGTCCACATATTCCTGGCAAAGGTACAAACGGGGGTATTGCTGTACTCAGCCAACATAGCTGAGCAACATATGAAGTAGTATACAGTCGTAGTACACATAAGGTTTGCAAAATATACTGCGCAAACTCACTTTGTGTGTCGAAAAGGCAGAATAAATGCTTATTACCACTACACTTGGTACAAGCTAGCGGAAAAATGATCCCACGTTAAGGTTCAAAATATGCCTTTTGAATTGCCCTGGGATGTCTTCTTTAAGAAATGGTATGCCTTTATGGGGTAATTGGATTATATAGCCTGGTAAAATACTCTAAAATTGGACATGGACTCAGCATAAAAAATCTAAATTTGAGAAAAACTGGAATGGCTGTGTCTCAAATGTGCCCCTTCAATGTCCACATTTACCTGGCAAGTCAATGGAATGGCAATGGGGGCTTGTTTTGACCCCTCATATGCCAATTGGTTTATGGGGTATTAGGAGGGATGATACATTTGGCATTACAACATGTGAAGGGGTCTGCTGGCATTCTTGCATTTTATTAACGATTTTATTATTATTTGGGATGAAAAACAATCAGATATAGCCCTATTTCTTGTACATATCAATAACAATAATTTGGGTATTTATTAGAATTAATCTAATAATACCTATTACAAGATGGTGGATGTCAAAGGTTATTTGTCAGTTTCTAGCGGACATCGTCCTCAATGGATTCAGAATATACCCTTCGGACAATTTATAAAAATTCAATGAAACTATACAGCCTTATTTGATTATGATACAGAGAAAAGGAAACTCTCTGAGGCAGTACCCCTGCAGTAAACTCCGCCTATCCGTGTCATGTGCGTCATGACATCATGATCACATGTCTCGGAACAGTTTGATTGAGAGTGTGGAAACTGAGTATAGGAATACAGGAAACCAGTGATAATTGGCTTCAGGAGGCATTATGTTGTTACACTATTTGGGTTTATGCATTGAGCACTTTGTTTAAGTCCATGAGGTTATTTAAAAGGTAAATACCCTGCATGTTTGCACTTTTTTACTTATATATGTCAATTAATGTGTCATGTGAATAAAAACTTTTTGTGCAATTCTACTTGATGTGCTATGGGTTTATTTTCATTTGTTATTTGATAACCTGATGGGGACACAGATCACTTTTACTTATTAAGCACTTTTATAACTGCATGACTCACAAATTCGTAGATTCATTCATGCAATCAAATGTTATGTACATAATTTCATTGTAAGTGTATGTTGATATTATTTATATATAAAAAAAATGTAAATACATTTTAATGGACACTATAGTCACAAGAAGAACTACAGCTTACATAAGTATAATTGTTCCCTTCAGGCTTTTTGCAGTAAATGCTGCCTTTTCAGAGAAAAAGCAGTGTTTACATTACAGCCTAGGGATACCTCCACTGGCCACTCCTCAGATAGTAAGAAATTATGACCCTCTTACAAGGATATTCTTTTAGGGAATGTGTGACAAATAAGACACAAACACAAGTGTATAATAAAATGTATTGTTAATATTAATTTAGGATACTGTTGCAGATTTTAGAAGGATATACACAATATACATTATACATTATATCCAGTACACAATCAAAAGCTACATAGTAAAAGGGCAATACTAAAACATTTAAATGGAGGTCTTCCCCTTGCGCCTTCATCTTTGTAGTATGGTACAGTCACCTGTGCTTGCTGCGCTGTCCTCTCCAAAAGAGACAAAAAGGGAGAAGAGAAAGACAAACCTCCTTGGCTGTTGTCCTTTTTAAAAACTGATTCTTGGAGTCATAAACTACAAGTCCCAGAATCCATTTTCCCTCCCAAAGGTGGTTTATCCCACCCTCTTTTTCCAGAGAGTTCTGTCTTTACACAAGTCTTTCCCTTTGATCTCTCCCCTCCAGCTATACTGTAACGTTCTGAAAGAAGTGAGCAGTTAGGCTTGGTTTCTGTGTAGATTGGACAGGATGGCTTGGGAAAACATATACTTCCATGGTTACACCTAGATGTTAACTACTCTGATCTTCTGATAACATGTATGGAACACTGGTTGGCAGGTGAACTGCTGGAGGGATGTAAGCTTTTGTTTTAGCTGGGTGTTGTAAAATGTAACTGAAAACTTTGATCCTTATCACACTGTTATCAAGTAGATGACCCCCAAGTTGTGAAACCAGTCACATACACAGAAAGTTATATACAATATTGAAGTTTTGCATATGAATTTCTTACAAGATGACTGCTAGTTATTGGCTCAAAGAATCACTTCTGAGGATGTCAGACAGCAGCAGCGGAATGGAATACAAGTAAAATTGCATTATATTTAGGGGGCAAAGGGGAGCAGGGGGACTAAATCATGTTTTTAACATTTAGATTGCAAGCTCTATATGTGACCCTGTAACATTCCAAAAACCAATAAAACCTGCACATGGGAGATATTGCTAAAAACAATAAGTATTTTAGAGCTTTTTTTTAGAGTTTCTTTTTTTATAATCATTAAAAGTGAGTGTGACGAGAGCAATCTCGCCACATTGCATTGGAGAAGCCTGGTTGCTCGCCTGTTGCCTTTGGATTATGGCCCCATGTTAAAAGGCTTGATTTTCCCCTGCAAAGACAAGAAAGCCGGGTCATTTGGTGCTTGCCCTGTTTGAGCAGTGATACCCCAGATAGCTATGCCATGGAGCCCATTCGTATAATGAAAGACTATGGGAAAGACTTTGGCTCCATGGCAATTGAACTGTATGTGTGTGCTCTGAGCGCCATTCAGTAATAATGTGCGCTCAGACCTAAGCTATCTGGGCATATGTTGCATGTCTGTATTTTATGTCATAAATGTAACCTTGTGTATTTTATTGTATTTTACTGTCTTTTTGCTGCCATGTGTTCAATGGAGTTTTGCCTCTGTCTTTGGAGATAATTGGATTACTTCTAATTATCTCCAGGATAGAAGACTCTGTGGAACTGGTTTTGGGCAGAAAAGCCATGCTTCCTGTGGTCACAAAGGACTACGATCTATCTTTTGAACCACTGGACCAATTTGTATGATTTTGACGTATGTTTGTATTTGGAGTATGCTGATTCTGAAAATGTAAGTTTTATGTGAATGTGATGCATACTTTTCAAGTTATGAATAATGTGGAAAAATTGTATTTCTCTGCTTGTGCTAAATTACATTACCCATTGTGTAAGGTAATTGAATCACATGCAGAGGGGAGGAATTTGTGTGGGAGGGTCTGAGTGTATTGTATGTGTTTATTGGTTGTGTTCCAAAACCCTGTGGGTGGTACTAATGTGTAAGAATGTGTACATAAGCACAATAAACCCACAGCTCTGGCTGTTCACTGCTTGACCCTCAACACGGAGCCTTGTCTCGTCTTTGGGGGGATTTACTGAATGCTCTTCCAGTTCGACTGCTAGGAGTGTAAACCTATTCGGATGGTTTTTCCTATTCGGCTGTTTACAGCATTCATATGGCTTCCTGTTCGGCGGATTGGTGTTCTGCAGTAGCTGTGCTTGTGTCTCTGGAAAGGGGGATGATCGCCTAAACGGTTTTTAACCCTTGTGTGCTGAAACGGTCCGTTACAGGGAGGTTTTTGGTGAAAAATGCAGAAAGCAAATATGAAAACTAACGTTTTGCCAGGGTTTGTGACTAAGTTGTTACTAAAAAAGACCAGACATACACAATTTTGAATACCCTGGGTTGTCTTCTTTTGCAAATGGTATTCCATGATGAAGGCAAAATAGGCCCAGAAAACCATTCTGGCAAATTTCCTCGTGGGCTCTCCCTGTCTGGGGCCGCAGCACTGGAAGAGATGCTCTTGAGCCGCCCTCATCGCCGGTACGATCCTCAATGCGGATCATCACAGCATACAAATATGTGTGTTTTATTGCACATTCACAGTTAAAATGCAATGCAGAACAACATTTCTTTATCTCTCACACTTTTTAGATTCATATTAAATTATGTTTTATAAATAAATATTTGATATGACATGAAAGCTCTGTTTCTCATGAATAAAACAGAAAATAGACAAATAGCATGAATTCTTGGTTTGGTTTTGCTTTGGTCAGAACTTGTACAATTGCCTCCATCCTTAGGAGTTAATCAACAAGTTGCCACCAAATCCAAAGGTCATCTTCACCAACGCTTTGAAACTCGAAAATATATTGGCACCCATGAATTTATTACCTTTGAATTTGTTTATTTCCTTTTTTACTTTTATTTATTTTCATTTTTTTTACACTGTAATATGCGGCTGCATAGCAAGCACAAACTAATCCTTGTGCTTTCCACGTTTTTTTTTAACTATTTGCCTGCTCACTGCTAGTGCTCTCAGTGGGTAAATAGTTCTTCAAATTATCAGTTCACTTGCAAAAAGTGAATAATAATTAGCAAATGTGCATCCTGCCGAATGCATTCTGTTTATCAGTGGCCATGCGTTCGTTTATAAATCACTGATTCTGATGCTCTTAAAGAACCACTAAAGGCACCCAGACCACTTCAGCTCAATAAAGTGGTCTGGGTGCCAGGTCGATCTAGTTTTAACCCTGCAGCTGAAAACATAGCAGTTTCAGAGAAACTGCTATGTTAACATTAGGGTTAATCCAGCCTCTAGTGGCTGTCTCACTGACAGCCGCAGGAGGCGCTTCCGCGATTCTCACTGTGAAAATCAAAGTGAGAAGACGCTGGACGTCCATATGAAAGCATTGAGTAATGCTTTCATAAGGGCTGTTTGAATGTGCGGGCGGCTCTTGCCACGCATGCGCATTCAGATCTGACGTCGGCAGGGGGTGGAGAGTTCCCCAGCACAGAGGGAGCCTGGCGCTGGAGAAAGGTAAGTGGCTGAAGGGGTTTTAACCCCTTCAATCCAGCGGGAGGGGAGCCCTGAGGGTGGGGGGGTACCTAATGACCCTATAGTGCTAGGAAAACAAGTTTGTTTTCCTGACACTATAGTGCTCCTTTAAAATGTTCAGATGCAGATATTAGTGATTTTCTGTACTCATCTGAATGAATTTTACAGAATCAATCAGACCAGCCGAATATGGTATTCTAATAAATAACCCCGTAAATGTAATATGTTTATAAACAGGGTTTAGTGCTTAAATATATTTCAATTTTGAATAAAGAATAAATGTCTTTTTTAAGAAGAGTAGTTTTTGAGAGTTTGCAGTTGTTTCCTTCTCTTTACACCTAGATTAGGCAGATGCATTTTTAGTCATGCTGTGACAGATGGTAATTTATACCATTAAGCAAGTTACCTATTGCTATAATATTTCCTTTTAGATTATTACTCTAATAGAATAAAAAATGCAATTCTGGGTGGGAAAAAATTACAGATAAAAATAAAAATAAATCAGGTGGTGTTCTTTTGTCACCTTAGGGTTTCTCCAACTACTTTTCCCAATTAAAACAAATATGACACCTTTTATGAACTCCAGTAATGGTGACTTCAGCTTAAAATTACTACAAAATGAATCCAAGTATATTTATCAATTTAAAACATAGGCTCCATTAGGACTCAATGAGGAGTTCAATTACACCCCATTCATACACAAATAGCATTGATATTGATATATCGAATTACAGATTGTCTGTGACTCTATAAAATAATCTAGGGACACCTACTAATTGGATTACCCTGTCCACTAATTTGATTTCCTAATTATATATCCCAAGTATCTTCTGCATAGCAGCACTGTCTTTACTAGTCAGACTGTAATAGTGCATCATATTCACCCTTATACTAATGATCATGATAATAATTATTAAGGGACTATTACAATGATATCATCATTATTATTATGTCAATAAGATTAATCTTCTTTTACTTTATTTTATTTTAAAGGGACACTATAGTCAAATATAAAAACAAGAAAGACAGGCCCCCGAGCCTTCTTTCTTGCTTTTATATGAACTTGTCATAAAAAAAAAAAAAAATCAGAGTAAGTTTTAATAATAACACTTACCTCCGTTCCAGCGCCGAGCTCCTCACTAGGCCACGCCCCCTTTTTCGTCAAAATGATGAAATCGCAGGGCTCGATAGGATGCTTCTCCTTGAGAAGCGTCATCACGATGTGGTGCGCATGCGCAGTTTCGCGCTGCACCAATCACATTCTTCATAGAGCGGCATTAAATGCCACCCTATGAAGAAACTCAGCGCTCAACCGCGCATGTGCACGGAATGCGCATTTGCGAGCTGAGCTGTCTGACTGACAGCTCAGCTCGCTTTCTATACCCGCCCCCCTCCTCAGCCAAACTGTGTTTGCATAGAAACACTATATATAGAGATCTCTCTATATATAGTGTTTCTATGCAAACACACAAGTAGTAAAAAATTAGACATACACACACACTCTTTCTCCATCCATATCTATCCATCCCCATCATCCATATCTATCATCCATATCCATCCCCATCATCCACCCATTCCCATCATTCATATCCATCCCCATCATCCACCCATTCCTATCATCCATATCCATCCCCATCATCCATATCCAACCATTCCCATTATCCATATCTATCCCCATTATCCATCCATTCCATCATCCATATCCATCCCCATCATCCATTCCCATCATCCATATCCATCCATCCCAATCATCCATATCCATTCCCATCATCCATATCCATCCCCATCATCCATATCATCCATTCCCATCATCCATATCCTTCCATTCCCATCATACATATCCATCCCCATCATCCATCCATCCACATCATCCATATCCATCCATTCCCATCATCCATATCCATTCCCATCATCCATCCATCCCCATCATCCATATCCATCCCCATCATCCATATCCATCCATTCCCATCATCCATCCATTCCCATCATCCATATGCATCCCCATCATCCATATCCATCCCCATCATCAATCCATTCCCATCATCCATATCCATCCCCATCATCCATACCCATCCACTCCCATCATCCATATCCATCCCCAAATCCATCCACTCCCATCATCCATATCCATCCACTCCCATCGTCCATATCCATCCATCCATCCTAATCATCCATCCTCACCCACTCACCCTCAGTCACCCATCCACACTCACTAAATAAGTTTACTTACTGTTTGAATCCTCCCCTCCTCCTCTTCGGTCTTCAGTCTGTCAGCTCAAGCCACTCCCATGCAGTGCTGACAGCCTCAGCACACAAAGCGCGTTCACAGTGCTTTGTGTGCTGATAGCACGTCTGAAGTATTCACCCATGCGTGAATACGTCAGACGTGGATGAAGCCTTTTTAGGGCTTCTGAACTCGGAAGTCCCTCTGGTGGCCGTCTGATTGACTGCAACTGGAGGTGTTCCAAGCTTCCAATGTACAGTGCTTACAAGAAAAAGGCTGTAGGGAGCTGTAGCACTCACCTGAACAACCTCATTAAGCTGAAGTTGTTCAGGTGACTATAGTGTCCCTTTAACTAATTTTTTTTTTCTTGATGTTTTTGATTTCACCTTACCCATAGGTGGAGTTGGTCTCCTTCAATTACATTATATTATATCACATTATCTTATCTTATTTCTGACCTGATTGACAAATTGATAAGTGATAACTCTCCCAGCAATACTTTGGAGTTAAGAACAGTGACAAGTTCACCAAAGAATGCAGAAATCCACTTTCCTACATCTTACTTATAAGACACTAACATTCACTCATTGACCCATTAATTACTTTCAGACGTGGAGGAGTTAACTATTCGGATACCTCAATTCCCTCAGACATCAAGGGGTTAACTATTCTCATTTCTAAATCAACTTGTCTCCTTCCATCCACGTATGGAGCAGCTCTGATAGGCTATTACCAATGCCAATCATCCTCCGTTCATCAGGATTGGTGAAATCCTTAAACCAATGAGTGAATGGGTTCACAGATTTTATTAAAGACCCGGAGGCTCCTATTATGCTGCACTCTTTCTTTAATTCCCTCAGCAGCAAAGAAACATTATTTGAAAAAAGCATTTGAAACAGGTATAAACATCATAGTGACAATGTCCGCCTAGTAACATGACCATCCAATCAGTGACATCCTTCTCCTATAGTAGGCCGGGCATCGATGACCATTTCCTCTTTCTTTGCTGCTCCCTCAGATAAGTAGACCTCTCACAGTTTTTCTGACTGTGGGATCCTCTTATGATTATTTCTTATGATATGCTAATTGTATTTAAATTGTTCCCTATACTACTACTAGATTGCTCTGTGTAGTAGTGTGTAATAGTAATCCATATTTCTGTGTACCTTTTATATGTACCTTTAATTACACTTCCATTCCATAAATACATTTCCAATTTTCTTCTACTCTCCCCAATCTGCCATGGTTTGACACTTTATTATTTTGGGTTCCGTGCTAACACAGGGACTTTACAGGTTTTCTTTCATAATACACGTTTTTTATTTCGCGGGCAAGGCCGGCCTTAGGGGTGTGCGAGCTCCATGGAGCAGGGGGCGCCATGTGGCCGGCACAGCTTGCACATGGCCGGGTGAGTGCAGGGGGAGCTGAAGCAAGTCCCCAGTTGGAGAGTTCATTATTTCCCAACGGGGACTATGAAAGTAAAGTGGCGGGGCTTACCGGATGGCATGGGTGGAGCTTACCGCATGCAGGAGGCGGGGCTAAAAAGCAGCCAGGGCGGAGCTTGCAGCTAACTGAAGCTCCAAGTACTTGCTGCAGAGAAAATAATCCTTGCTTCCACTCCTCCCTTCCAATTAACTGTGTGTGTGACTGTAGTGTGTGTGTGTGTGTGTGTGTGTGAAGCTGTACTCTGTGTCTGACTATAACAGTGTCTGTGTGTGTGTGTGTGTTTGTGGGGGGGAGACTGTACTCTGTGTGTGACTGTCTGTAGCAGTGTGTGAGTGTCTGCCTGTGTGTGTGTGTGTGTGTGTGTGTGTGAGAGAGAGACTGTACTCTGTGTGTGACTGACTGTCTGTGTGTGAGACTGTACTCTGTATCTGAGTGTCTGTAACAGTGTCTGCCTGTGTGTGTTTGTGTGTGTGAGAGAGAGAGACTGTACTCTGTGTGTGACTGTCTGTAGCAGTGTCTGACTGTCTGCCTGTGTGTGTGTATGAGACTGTACTCTGTGTGTGTGAGACTGTACTCTGTGTGTGACTGTCTGTAGCAGTGTTTGTCTGTCTGTCTGTGTGTGTGTGTGTGTGTGTGTGTGTGTGGCTGTGTGTGTGTGAGAGAGACTGTACGCTGTGTGTGACTGTGCTCTGTGTGTGAGTGTCTGCCCGTGTGTGTGTGTGTGAGAGAGAGAGACTGTACTCTGTGTGTGACTGACTGACTGTCTGTGTGTGAGACTGTACTCTGTGCGTGAGTGTCTGTAACAGTGTCTGACTGTCTGCCTGTGTGTGTGTGAGACTGTTCTCTGTGTTTGACTGTCTGTGTGTGTGAGAGACTGTACTCTGTGTGTGACTGTCTGTAGCAGTGTCTGACTGTCTGCCTGTGTGTGTGTGTGTGTGTGAGACTGTACTTTGTGTATGACTGTCTGTGTGTGTGAGACTGTACCTGATTGTAACTGTGCCTGACTGTCTGCCTTTTTGTGTGACTGTAACCAGGGCCGGCCTTTGGGGTGTGTGAGCTGTACGGCCACACAGGGCGCCATGGCAACAGGGGTGCCAGGTGGCCAACACAGCGACAAACCGGCCTGAATTGGAATGCAGGAGGAGCGTGGAGGAGAAGCGTGGGGGCTCGACGTCGGAAGGATCCGCTCCGTGCGTGTCAGTGCGGCAGGTGCTCTTCAGTCGCAACGTCAGGCAGAGTAGGACAACTGGATCCAGCAACTGACAGCTGGATCCAGGGAGCAGCAGCCTTTAATGTAAGTGCTTATCCTTATTGCTATATATATATATATATATATATATATATATATATATATATATATATACAGCCAAAAGAAATCAGCACTCCCAGGGTTCATTCAAAAAAATCGAAAATTTTCTTTATTCCAACGGTCAACGTTTCAGTTCCAC